GAGCTCTACCGGCCATTTCCATCGCCGACTCTTCCCGTTGTCTGCGTTGACGACACATGTATTTGTCAAACCGTTTGAATGCCAAACAACAGCCCATCGCCGACGCGAACAGTACAGCTCCGGCCAACGCAGCGCATATAACGGCAATGGTCTGTACGCTAACCGCACACGTGTGCCAATACATATCGGACAAGTGGCCACAGTCTCGACTCCACCGATAGCTATACCGATAATGAGTGAACGTATGGCACGTCTTATCGTTTGAACAGAAATAGCAGCGAGAGTTTTGGAGACACCGATCACACGATCCGTTTCGCTGCCGACAGTCGTTATCAAACTTTGACCCTTTCCAGACGTGTATCGCAACCGACTCTGTGCTCGAAGACATGTTGGACACAGCTTTTATGGCCACTCCTGTTGTATTGGCCGTCGTATTGGTGGCCAAACCAATACAAACAATATGGCTTAATGTAATTATTATCAAGAGTTTTGAATCCATTTCTTACTTTAAACTAAAATGTGTTTATTTATTACAAAAACAAAATTTCAAAACATATTTGATAAAATTATTATTTATTAAAAAACTAATTTCCTGTTACTTTAAACTTAATAATAAAAAATTTATCTTACAGTATAATCAAAAATAACTAACAGTTTACCAGTAGGCAAATTGATTCTTGTTGGTCATCAATAGAAAATAAAAACTGTTATAAAATTAGTTTTTATTAAATTAGATTTAGATTAAAACATTTAGTTAAATTATAAAACAATTAGCTAATTATTTGCATAATAAATAATTATTAAGGTGAAATTGTGCGTCAAATTGTGCACTCAATCTAATCACACTTTTTAACATAAACTCCAAGTTGTTGTCCACATTCTCTTCTGTTATTAAATTATCGATTAACTGTTTCAGTTGCTTAAGAGCATCGGTAGCCATATATTCATCAACAAAATCATGTCTATCTTTATTGTTTATTAGACACTGAAAGCCATACCATTCAAACAAATAGTTAATAGTATAAAACGTAGGCAACAAAGCCGTTAAGAGTCGTATCATTGAACCAGAATTGGCCTCATTTATCAAATGTCTAATATATTGAACCGTTATTTCATCCATAGGTGCTGTTAAGCTGTCCTCAATGGGAATATTACTATCAATTGCTCCATAATAAGCAAACAATTCATTTATACCAAGTGTCCAGCACCGGGACATTTGTTTAAAAAATAATTGTTCATCTGCCGATTGACTCAATTGGAGACCCTTTTGCAGGACATGTCTGTAGGCCGGCATCACATCTATTGTAGAAATAATATACTTCAGCGATCTGTTTCGCCGCCTCTTCAGACTAGTGTCAGTAGTTATGAGCAAACATTTGTTTATAGTATTCTCGCAAAACACATCTTCATAAATGTCTTGTGTGGCTGCGATAAGAGTTTCACTAAATGGCTTTGGATTACTCTCCCCTTCAATTGTTTCACATAAATATTGCATTACTTTTGTAGCCAACGGTTTAAAAATGTTTATATAAATAATAAACATTTTTGTAATAAATTTAACTTGACCAATTTTATTTAATTAACAAAACATGTAACAAATCTAGTTTTAATGATAGCAAAAAAAATCATTAATGTGATGAACATGAGGGCTGTCAAGCAATTTATAAAATAACTGTTACAAATAATAGGCGACAATTTAACAATGTCACTGTTGCTTTTTTGCGAAGGTCGTATTAAAATTATTGCAATTTTACCCGGTTTATATACTTATTGAAATTAGTTGATAAAGTTTTAAATTAACTTATTATTATTTATTAAAAATAATAATTATTATAATTAATTTTAAATATACAAACTAAACATCTCTGACGGCATTTTAGCAAATATCCATATATTGATTACAACACATTAAAAAATATTTAATTAGTTTTTAATGAATAAAATGGAGACAAAAATACATGTAATAATTAGTTTATTAGTATTTATTGCAACAATCGGTACATCGGAAGAGTTAAATGGGACGGATTGGGCCCACAGTATACTCGTCCACAGGAAAGGGTTGGAGGCGTGGAATGAATGCCATAAACACAGCAACCAGTCGTGCGAACACTGCATCCTTAATATCAATTGTTTTTATTGTTCGGCCGACAAATCTTGCAGACCGTATGACAGGAGTAAGCAGTGGTACGGCTCGTGCGGGCACTGGAATGACATGTATTGGAACACCTGTTACTGGAATGTATGGGTTGTGGCGGTTATCTCATTCATTTTGATGGCAGCAGTTTTGGTGACAACACTATTAGTCATATATACGGCGTTACAGCGCATCCAAGTGTGGCGACACCGGCGCCAACTATGGACGCAAAGACGAGAGCAACAGTTGGCGGTGGAAGAGCTAAGACGGGCCAACCGGTGGCAGAAAAAGCACCACTTTATCAATAAATATGACACAATGGGACTCAACTATCAAAACTATCAAAGATTTGTTTGATTGTATAAATATTTTAATTATTATAATTTTCAATATGACACAAATCTTAATAATATTAATAAATATTGATTTTTATTATAAAATTATTTAAAAATGAATAAAACATTAAAAATTAATTATTATTATTTATTATTTTTAACACTTTAATTATAAAATACAAGTGTGAACACAAGTGTTGGTACATTTCTTATGAATTTTATGGTGATATTAAATTAATTGTGATCTTAACGGCGCTGAGTCTCATAGGATTCAACGCATCCACTCGTGAGCCACACATTAGACAGTTTTAATGGTCACTCGTTGATGACGGGCGTAGTGTTGGTCACGTCGGCTCATATCAATCACTTTCAAACCACAATAATAGACAACAATTAAAGACCTTCACAACAAAATACTACATTCACTGTAGTAAATTACTTTAAACACATTCACTGTCTGTTTGTGTTTGGCTTTTGTACTTTACATATATTTATTACACATACAATAAGTTAAAGCTATGAAAGTTTTATATGGAAAATAAAATAATAGAAAGTAAGGCTTAAAACGTAAGTTATATTTACTTTTAAAACTTTTACAATTATACCATTTATGTCAAATTTATGTCATTTTATTTACTACTCATTATCTGTAAATTAAACTAATGATTGCTTTAATCGACAAATAACATATTTATTTTCAATTATTTATATATTTATATTCAATAAATATATTTCTTTAAAAAATTATATCCAAAATTAAGGAAATATTAAATTCAGTACACTATACACAGTGTAACAACTCAATAAAAACAAATTAATATTACACGTTTATAATACAAGTTAAATTTTACATATTCAAATAAACATACAGTAGGTAGATTATAATAAAAATAACATTATTGTAATTTATATGATATAATTATAAACTAAATAATTATTTGTTTCATATAAAGAAACTTTACTGCATATCAAGTAAAACCTTATTATACCTGTTTTCTAATAGCATTTCATATCTACTAAAATCATTATATAATTAGAAATATATATATAAAATAAAACTAAAATTTAGTTCAATAGGGCATTTGAGACGAGAGTTAAAAAACTTCACAAAACACTTACGTTTTCGTTAAAGAATAGATAATAAAAAATTTTAATACAAAGTTTGCAAATTTTATATTTTAAAACTATGAATACACAAGTGTTAAACAGTGCATATTTATTACAACTGATGCCAATATTATGTATAGTTGTTATATTGAATAACGTTTATATAGGAAATTGTCAACAAAATAACTCATCGAGCAATCAATGGAGTGGTAATCCGTTTAATGAGCGCTCGTTTATAGTGTATAGACCGCAGACACAAGTCGTGGAAAACAAGGGCCAAGAAAAAAGTGGAATGTGTCCCATCACTAGATCGGCGCCTGGATTCAAATCATTCAAACAGGTCATTCATCAAAATTCTTGCTTTATACGCATATTTAAAACGTGGTCATCAAAACTGTATTTTATAATTCATTCAACTATCAAACATATAGTACGAGGGCTTATGGTTTAAAAGGTGGCGCACACGAGTCCGAATCGATGAACCATTTTTTAAATGTTCATACATTCACTATATATTTGACGGAATTAGCAATATATTTATTATGGACAATTTGCAAAATAATGCGTAAATATACGTAAAAATGATTATATACTGTATTGGATTTTATTAAAATTACGGTATAATTAGCACTAATGAATGGAAACGACAAAACGCTACATCTGTACTCTATCCAAACACCCCGAGCTCTTGGACCAGCACTTTGCAAAGTAAATTGACCATATTAGATCATAAAACTATGTAATATTAATACTTTTTAAATATTACAGACGGTGCAACGTTTGACACTCATTTATTATATTTTGATGGTGATCTGGGTATTTCATTACTGTATAGCTGTGCCAATACTAGAAATGGACATTCAGGTATCCAAGAGTTAGGCCAGTATTGATTAATTTGTTGATTAATGAATTCATTTGTAAAAGGTATCGGAAATATCTACACCCGATCGCCCGACACTCCGCTATCAAAGACTATGATAAACCATTTATATGATGTGTATTTCCAAAATGGTATTTACGATATCCTACCTCTGCATGAAGTAAAGCACGAGGACTGCGCGCCTGTCCGGTCCCGCAACCAAGAGGTCAATGACCATGGTCAAAATGGACTCAAACGTGTTAATGATCTTGGACATAAAAACATTTATAATGATTAACGTTAAATAATATTTTTCATGTTTCAAATATTTCACTGAATAATTAAACATTTAATGACATCAAATTTAAATAAAATGACCAAAATACAATATAATATTATGTAAATTATTCCATAATAAAATAATTATTTTATTGCAATTAAATAATTTATTAACTTATTACATTAATTGTTATATAATGGTCGGATCACCAAGGTCAATTTTTCTACCTTCACATATACATTTTTCTCGATGACATCTACCATATTCGTAGCGCTATTATAAATAATTATGAACATTATTTTGTAATTTGTTGAGGAATTATTAATTACTTACTTTATTATATACACAGTAATTCTTACACAATATTACTTGAAATCCATCGAATACATTGCTGCATGCTGTATCTGTTATACCTTGATGAAAATTCATTATTAAAATTGTACACAAAACTGCTAACGATAGTTTATTCATGTTCGTATTAAATAATAAATATAAAACATAATTATAAGGCAAATATTAAAGTAACAAAATATTTGTCAAATATAATAGCAACATGTGTTTATTAAAGTTAAAAAATGTGGTAAAACCATTTATTTTTGTAACAATAAACAACATGTTTTGTTAACGTATTGTAATGTTATCAGAATAATTGCATATTTAAATTTAAAAAACAATGCCAATGGGTTTATGTTAAGCTGTTCAAGCTAGCCTGGTCAGTATTCTTTATAGCAATAAAAACCATAAATAAAGGTTATTATTAGCGTTGTCCACATATCACTGGCATATCTGGTTCGGCAAATCCACGTTTGATTATAATTAACGGAAAACATATTTAATTTCATAAACAACTTTTATTATGATATTGAAAATGAGTTATTCCTTCAGATTCTTACTCCTCTCATTAAATCCTCATTCATATATAATTTATAATACCGTATATCATATTTTGATATTATTACAACATATTTCGCCAGTAAAAGTGCCCATTACTTCCAAACACCATGTTCTAAGGACACGCACACACCATCAATATAAACCTTAGACCATGCTTATTCATTTCTATATCAAATGGTAGCCAGGCCAGTTTGGTCAACTTAAGCCCATCGGTATCGTTTTTATCATTTTGCTCAAATATAGTAATAATCAGGTACACCAGATGTCTCGTCATTAAAGTATTTGCCAAATGGTTAAACTAATTGGTAAAATTTATAAACCACATGGTATTTCTTTAAATATTAATAAATAATTTTATAAAATAATTTTAATATATTTAAATACAAAAATAAATCATTCATAAAACACAATAATTTATTATATTTAAATTATACTGATTTATATAATTCTAGGATCACCATGTACATTCATCGCACCTTCGCAATGGCACTCTTGACCACGACATATGCCCTCTTCGTAGTGCTGTTATAGAAATTTATTCACTTTTTCATTAAAATTGTGAATTAAAAACTTTACTTTTGTTATGCGTTAATAAATTTATAAATTACCTTGATAAAGATACAATAATAAGCACATTTTATTGACTTTTTACCATCATTAACACCACGACATACACTATCAGTATGTATTAGTGAGCACATTGTTATTATTAACATTATATCAATTGATATGATTGTTATATTTAAACCAAGATTCATATTATTATTGGAAAAAATTATATTTATTAAACTAAATTTTCATTTGATTGTCGATAATATAAGTATATTTGTGATCATAGACTAAACATGTGTTTTGGGTTTTTTAAAAGATTTATTTTATAAATTATCAATGTTATTTATTGCTTAATCTCTCTCTCTCTCTCTCTCTCTCTCAATCGGCAAATTGATTACTGCCTATAATGTCATCAATTAATTATTTATTTATTACAAAAACATTCCGCTTATTAAATATTGACTCAAATAAAAG